TTATGATCCCAATGCTAGTGATTCCCGATCCAGTTACACCACTAGTCTCAATGATTCCCTGCTCTCTTTTGCCATCATGGATCATGCTTCTCTCTTGGGCTTGGAGCATTTGGACATGGGGGTATGCGACAGCTTTGTGCTCTAGAAGATGTTGACAAAGTTCCTTATGACATGCTAATTGAGGGAGCTGGTGGAGATGGTTGTGCCAATGACGGTGATGGCGATGGCAACAAGAGTGGTGGCGGCGGTAATAGTGGTGATGACGTAGTTGATTCTTATGGAAGTCGCCCATACGGGTTGTGGTATTCGGGAGGTCAAACTGAAACGCCAGATTGTTGAGCTCGAGAAGGGTGTCCGTGGCTTTGACCAGAGGTGTGTCCTACTTGCTTCGGAGAAAACTGCTGCGGAAGAAATTCGATTTTCCCTGGAAGTGAAAGTGGACTCTTTGACCCAGGCTAACGAGGGGCTCATGATTCAAAATGAGAGTGTGGAGCAAGATGTTTGTGACCGTGATAAGCTCCTCGAAGAGGCTCGAGCTGAGGCAGAGGATGTTCGTCTTGACCAGGATTGGCTCTTACAGGTTGGAGTTGTGCGCATCATGGACAAGATATTGAGCATCCGGAGTTCACCAATGTCGTTAGTCGGATCAGGCATGTTGCGTTCATCGCCGGTGAGGAATCCGGCCACAACGGGTTGAAAGCTGAGGTGGATTCCAGTTCTTATGATCCCAATGCCAGTGATTCCCGATCCAGTTACACCACTAGTCTCAATGATTTCCTGCTCGCTTTTGCCATCATGGATCATGCTTCTCTCTTGGGCTTGGAGCATTTGGACATGGGGGTATGCGACAGCTTTGTGCTCTAGAAGATGTTGACAAAGTTCCTTATGACATGCTAATTGAGGGAGCTGGTGGAGATGGTTGTGCCAATGACGGTGATGGCGATGGCAACAAGAGTGGTGGCGGCGGTAATAGTGGTGATGACGTAGTTGATTCTTATGGAAGTCGCCCATACGGGTTGTGGTATTCGGGAGGTCAAACTGAAACGCCAGATTGTTGAGCTCGAGAAGGGTGTCCGTGGCTTTGACCAGAGGTGTGTCCTACTTGCTTCGGAGAAAACTGCTGCGGAAGAAATTCGATTTTCCCTGGAAGTGAAAGTGGACTCCTTGACCCAGACTAACGAGGGGCTCATGATTCAAAATGAGAGTGTGGAGCAAGATGTTTGTGACCGTGATAAGCTCCTCGAAGAGGCTCGAGCTGAGGCAGAGGATGTTCGTCTTGACCAGGATTGGCTCTTACAGGTTGGAGTTGTGCGCATCATGGACAAGATATTGAGCATCCGGAGTTCACCAATGTCGTTAGTCGGATCAGGCATGTTGCGTTCATCGCCGGTGAGGAATCCGGCCACAACGGGTTGAAAGCTGAGGTGGATTCCAGTTCTTATGATCCCAATGCTAGTGATTCCCGATCCAGTTACACCACTAGTCTCAATGATTCCCTGCTCGCTTTTGCCATCATGGATCATGCTTCTCTCTTGGGCTTGGAGCATTTGGACATGGGGGTATGCGACAGCTTTGTGCTCTAGAAGATGTTGACAAAGTTCCTTATGACATGCTAATTGAGGGAGCTGGTGGAGATGGTTGTGCCAATGACAATGATGGCGATGGCAACAAGAGTGGTGGCGGCGGCAATAGTGGTGATGACGTAGTTGATTCTTAAGGTACTTTCGTACAGTGTGTTGCCCCTTCGGGTGTGAAAGAAATGTATGAAGCTTTTGTTATTTGTTGTTGCATGGTTTGGTAGTGTTTGATAGTGGTGGCCTTCTTAGCCTTGTTTTTAATAACTTTTCAACGTTTGGTAATATGAATGGTGTTTGTTTACGCTTGTTTTTATTGCTTTTGCTTGCGATCTGTTGTATCTTGTGTACATGGTTTTGTTTTGAACCCCTGTTATCGTTTCTTTTCATTATTCAAGCGTAGGATTGCAATGTAGTGATGGACGGTTGCTTTTGGTCACTAGGCGCAAGGGTTACGTCGGTTATCTTTGGTAATGGTTGTTATGCCTACGGGAGTGTCAGATACTAATGTAAATCGTCCCAATGTATTGGGTATAATGTGGCTTGTTCTTAGCCTTGTGAATACACTAAGTATTTTAATTAGATGGCTATTATTAGCCTTGTAAATACACTAAGTATTTTAATAAGATGGTTATTCTCAGCCTTGTAAATACACTAAGTATTTTAATAAGATGGCTATTCCTAGCCTTGTATATACATTAAGTATTTTAATTTGATGACTATTCTTAGCCTTGTAAATACGCTAAGTATTTTAATTCGAATACACTGAGTATTTTAATAGGATGGCCATTCAAATACAATGAGTATTTTAATAAAATGGCTATGCTTAGCCTTGTAGATACACTTACTACTTTGTTTTCGTAAAAAGAAAGGTGAAGTGGTGTGCCTAGGTGCACTGAGCCTTGGGCGCTGAACGCCCCCTAGGTGATCAGTCTAGGCGGCGTATTAGAAATGAAACTTCCTTAGATTTATGACGTTCCACGTTCTTGGGATTTTCCTTCCTTCCATTGTTTCGAGCGCATATGCGCCGCTGCGGTGGGCCTCAATGACCTTGTATGGTCCCTCCCACGTGGGGCCTAGCTTTCCTTACAGTTGGGCGTGGCTTGCCTCATTTCACCTTAGGACGTAATCCCCTACTTTGAAAGCTCTCACTTTGACTCTTTAGTTATAGTACCTTTCCACAACATTTTTGTAAGCCGCTTGACGGATTTTTGACCGTTCACGCTTCTCTCCGATGAGGTCCAAGTTTGCTCTTAGATCCTTGTTATTGCTTCCTTCTTCGAAATGGTTCGTTCGGAATGACCCAACCGTTAGTTCTACTGGCATCATCGCTTCCGTGCCATAGGTTAGGCTAAAGGGAGTTTCTTTTGTGCTCGCTCTTGGCGTCGTCCTGTACGACCAGTGCACTCCCGGTAGTTCTTCAACCCAATGACCCTTAGCTTTTCCCAAGCTCTTCTTAATTCTATTCACCAACGTCCTGTTGGACACTTCTGTTTGGCCATTGACTTAGGGGTTCGCTACCGACGTGAATCATTGCTCCATTCCTTTCTCGGCGCACCAACCTCAGAACGGGGTCTCGGAAAATTGCAATCCGTTATCACTGATGAGTACCTTCGGTATTCCTAACCTTGTTATAATATTTTTCCATAGAAACTTTATCATCTGTCTTCCAGATATGCATGCTAATGACTCAGCTTCTATCCACTTGGTAAAGTAGTCTACTGCTACTACCAGGTACTTTACTTTGCCCGGGGCATCTAGGAATGGTCCAACGATATCAATTCCCCACTGGTAGAAGGGCCACAGACTAGAGATACTTGTCAGAGGCGTTGGTGGGTTCCTTTGGATCGGGGAGTAAGTCTGGAACTCTACATATTTTCGTGTTACCTCCAACGCATTTTGGTGTATGGTCGGCCAGTAGATGCCCATCCAGAGTATTTTCCCTGTAAGGGCCCTTGCCCCTCCGTGTGCACCTGCTGAGCCGACGTGTATCTCTCGCAGTGCCTCTTTTCCCTTGGCTTCCTCTACGCATTTTAGCCATGGCATCATGAATCCCTTCCGATACAATATTCCATCCATGATTGTGTATAGTGGTGCTTTGATCCGTACTCTTCTAGCTTCTTCATGGCTATCTGGAAAAATGTCGTGTTACAGGTATTCAACTATCGGTGTCATACATGTATGCTGGGACAGCGCTAGAGTGTGTACCCTTCGTTCGTCTATACTTCTCTCTTTGAGTACTTCCACTAGGACCTTCTTAGACAGGTGATCGAAGCATGTTGACGCTATCTTACTGAGGGCGTCAGCTCTTCTATTTTCCCCTATTGGGATTTGTTTATGGTGAACTCTTTGAGAGGCTCGACAAGCCATTACACGACCTTAACATATTTCTCCATTCGCTTGTCTTTCGCTTCGAATTCTTCGTTGATTTTATTAGCTGCTAACCTTGAATCCGTCAAGGCTACTATCGTTTCTACGCCCATCTGCTTTGCTAGTCGTAGGCCGGTGAGTAAGGCCTCGTATTCGGCTTTGTTGTTAGAAGTGTGAATGGAGAGTGTAAGTGATCTCTACCCCTTCTGGGCTTGTTAAGATCAGGCCAACCCCCGACCCTTCTTTACTGGATGCTCCGTCGGTGTATAGGGTCCATCTCTAGCTATCCCTTGGTTGGCCTATCCCCAATGATTCTTTTGTCTGGATTGTTGTCTTTGCTTCGCCTGGAATTTCGAGGAGAGATATGATAACACTTGCCCCTTGATGCTGGTATGCGGGCGATAGCTGATGTCATGTTCCCCCAGCTCGATTGCCCATTTCGCCAGTTGCCCGGATGTTTCTGGCTTGAGTAGTATTTGTTTGATATGGCTGTTTGTTAGCACTTCTATCTGGTGCACTTGGAAATAGACCCTCAAGTTCTGTGTTGCGTTGATGAGTGCTAACACTAATTTTTCGAGGATGGGGTAGTTGGTTTCGGGGCTCTGTAGCGCTCGGCTAACGAAGTAATCTGGTACTTGCCTTCCTTCCCTTTCTACAACCAGTACCGAAGATATGGCTTCGTCTAAGGCTGAGAGGTATACTTGCAGCGTTTTCCTGGGACAGGACTGGCTAACGTAGGTAATTTGTGCATGGCTTCCTTAATTTGCTGGAGTGCTGCTTCCGTTGCTGTTGTCCATTGGAAGTTGTTCTTTTCGATGCATCCTTTGAGGGTGTGGAAGAGCGGCAGGGCTTTCTCTGCTGATTTGGAAATGAAATGGATTAGTGCGGTCAGTTTACCGTTCAACCCCTGGGCATCCCGCAAGGTATATGTGGATGGCACCTCCATCAACTCGTCCACCTTGGTTGGGCTAGGCTGAATTCCTTTTGTGGTGACGTAGTACCCCAAGAATTGGCCTTCCTCGACACCGAAGGTATATTTTCCTAGATTTAATTTCATCATGACCTTCTCCAATGTTTTGAATGTTTATTCCACGTCTTCCAGTAGCCTCCTGTCATCTGGGCTTTTATGACCATATCATCAACGTATACTTCGATGTTTCTTCCGATTTGTTTAGCGAAAATAGAGTCGACAAGGCGTTGATATGTTGCCCCTGCATTCTTCAGTCCGAACGGCATCTTGGTGTAGCAGAAAGCCCCGTGGTACGTGTAGAAAGCTATTTTCTCCTCGTCCTCTTTGCTCATCAAGATCTGATGGTACCCCTTATATGCGTCCAAGAAGCATTTTAAACTGAAACCTTGCAAGGATTCAACTTTTTGATCAATTTCTGGCAGGGGGTAGCAGTCTTTGGGGCACACCTTGTTTAGATCGGAATAGTCGATGCACATGCGCCAAGAGCCATTGTGTTTTCTCACCATGATGGGGTTGACAATCCATAATTTCTGATCGGATGAATGACAATATTGTTATGACATACATTAAGTAAGTTACTTGATTTACATTGTTGATTCTCGATAACACAAATATTGCAGATGCTATAGAAACCATAAAACCACATTCCCTAGAAGAATTCGAAGTTTTTGATGCATCGGTAATGAAAAACATCTAAAATATTAGATTTCTTATTTAATTCGGCTTCGTTTTCATAATAATTTTTATTTGGTTTACAGGATTTGACCGAAGAAGACGAATTATGTTGTTCTCCAATAATATCCTCTTCACTTGCTACTGATAGAAAAACAGAAAAAAAATTGAGGGTACCTTAGATGATAGAACCGAGAAACCTAGTCCTGTATCGGTTCTCGAGCCATTGTTCTCAGATGACGATATTAGCCCTGCCAGAACCATTTCTCGGTATGGTAAAAAAATTGTAGTTTTTGTCTCATTGACATCTGTTTTATTGTCTTAGTCTGCATACCAAATACAGTACAACCTGTTTCATGTTAACTTAATTTTATTCACATTTTCCAGGAGAAACTTCTATTACACCACTATGTGTTTGATTTGAAGAACCCGTTACACCAACCGAAAATCAAGAAACATCTATCCATACTCTTGTTGAAAATGAGGAATCTGCATTTGAATACATCGAAACGGTTCTTTTAGCATCGAATCTCAATTGGGATGAGTTTGAAAAAAAACGGCTTTCTAATGCTCAAATATTGGGTCGATCATTATACGAAGAACTACAAATCTTTTCAAGTCAACTAGTTTGCGATCAATGGCTCCTATTCGATTCCACTAATGAAATTCTCAAGGAAATATGTGATCAATCCTTGGGTTTGTTTCCCGAGTTACCGTTTTTTAAAACAAATAGATTTTTGATTCCGAAAGGAATGGAGCTGATAAATGAGGTATGGAAAAGAATCAAGTCACGTCTCAACTGTGTTTATCTTCGGTCGTTGGATCAACTTATAAGTAATGACATGGACATATCGAGAATGTGGATGGATCTTTTGTTGGGGACTCAAGAAATAGTTATGGAAACTGAAGAATGGATATTGGAGGATTTGATCGATGATACCCTTTTAAGCTTAATGGATATTAACTAACTAACCTTAAAATGATAGGTAACATAGTTGCTACTCTTTGTATTGGTAGAAACTAGAAAGTTTAAGTAGCGATAACATAGATTTGTAGGTCGGTTTGTGTGGAGAGTGTGTTGTGATTTGTGTAGTGTGCGTGTGTTTATTTATTTATTTTAGCCCTAGTTTGTAACTATATAATAAATGAATTCTCATAATAAGGCCAAAAGGAGTGGATTCGCCAAACAAACTCGTTAAGGTCGCTAAGGCCATTGAAACACCGCCCCCTAGCGTCGCTAGGGGGCTTGCTAAGGTATCCTCGACTTGAGTTTGGTGAGAAGAGTGAGAAACGCAGGAAGCAATATGATTGGTGGAAGAGGTTTTGGAAGGATTGCTTATATTTTGACCATATTTAATTTCCTTCGCCGTCTTCTTTCCAAACATAATAAATTTTATACTTTAAATAAAAAAAAAGCGTGAATGGATTGCTTTATCTTTTTCTTTGAATTGCAAATAAACCTCCTAACAAATTAACACTTTAATGTTTTCAACCCAATTTACGGTTTTAATGTTTTCAACCCCCAAAATTAAATTCTCAATTTAATTTTTCACCAACTTCTTATTTAATTACTAAAATGTTTTTAATAAAATTCATAATATTCAAATACTATAAATTAAATCACACATTCAACATGACACACACACAAAACATTATCTCCTTCACATTCTATCTCAATTCATCAAACATCATCTCACCCAAACAAAACCCCAAGGAAAAAAAAACTTCAAACCTTCCATCACTAAACATTCCATCTCCAAACACTCCATCCCCAAACCTTCCATCACCAAAATGTTATCGACCTTCATTTGATCAACCCATTCACTCACCTACTAGCTACTACTTTCCATCTATGGCTCCACAAATGTATCAATTCAATCTGAATGCTTCTCAACCCATCCACTTTTACCAAAACCAATCCCAACCAATACCTCGTCCAAATTTGGATCTTGATCCGTTTGAGACGGTTCAAGAAACTCAATTCTTTTCACAACCTCAACCCTAAAGTAATTTTCAATGCCAACCACGCGCCTACTCGACGAGTCAACTGATTCCTCCGATGAAGGACCCGTTGAAGAGTCATTTCAAGAGCTCCAAGAAAAGGGAAAAGGGAAGACTCCAAGAAAAGGGAAGGCTCGATGCAAAAGGTGGACAAATGATGAATAAACGACACTAGCGCAAGCATGGCTAGATGTATCGGAGGATCCAACGACGGGAGACGACCAAGATTTGATGACCTTCAAAGCTAGAGTTTGGCATAATTTCTGTCACCGAATGAAAAGGCAGTAACGCAATTCTGATCAACTTTACTCCAAATGGAGGATTGCCAACAAAGCCTCAATAGAGTTTAACGACATCTACATGAACGCGATCCGCAACCCCCAGAGCGGTGCAAATGAGGTGGATGTGTTAGCAAAAGTTCGTAAGATTTACAAGGCCAAAGTCGGAAAACCTTTTGGCAATGAGGCGTTTTGGGGATTTGTGAAGGAGAAACCGACATGGCTTAATCTAAGAAGTGTTGATGATTACGTGGATGCTTCCAAATGAAGCAAAACTTCCGAGACCACTCACAGCAACTCTTCTGATGCACGTATCAGAGGGATTGACCTCAACAATAATGATCCTTATGAAGTTCCAACTCGTCCTATGGGGCAAGACAAAGCAAAAAGAAAGATGAAAGGAACCCAAAGTTCATCGCCTAAATTGGAGGAGATAAGGAGCGAGATCAAAGGGTTAGGCGATAAGCTTGACGGTTTTTTTGGAATTAGGAAAGCTAAAAGAAAAGAATCGTGCGATAAAAGAAAAGAACCGTGCGTTACAACTTTTCTTAACCCCGGTAGAGAATATGTCCGAGGAGGATCGTCAAATTTTTAACAAGGCAAAGCAGGATCTTGCTAAATAATACAGCTGGGATTAGGCGTGTTAAGTCGTGTTTTAATTTATGCGTATTGTAGAAGGTGTGACTTTAGTGTCTGAGTATATGAGGCAACACCCGGATGCAAGAGGTACGTTAGGCTTAAAAAGCGTTGGCAGATAGTTGCAAAAGCATCCATGTTTCGTGATATTTCTACTATGACAGAAGTGATGTATACATGTATCATAATGCATAATATAATAATAGAACATGAAGGAAATGCGATATGTGTGTATGACGAGAATGAAGTCATCCCAAATACCCAACCACTAGAATATGGTGGTCAAGAATGGATACAAAGAATGAGGATAATTCACAATCCAATAATCCATACCGATTTTCGCCGTCATTTGACCGATCATCTTTGGACGATGGACAATCTTGATCTAAATATGCCACCGGAAGACGAATTGGAAGACCAATATTCGGAGGAAGACCTATTGCTTAGTGTGTTTTTTTATGAAGTGTTGTTTAGTTATGAAGAGTATCTTTTATGTATTAAATCGTGTTTTAGGTCTTAAGTATTATTAAATCGTGCTTTAAGTTATTGTAATCGTTTTTATTTAATATGAAGTGTGTGTAGTTAAAAAAAATTATGCCATATTAATTAAATCCAAAAAATGTTTGTGCAATATTAAAAAAATATATTTTGTATAATATTAAATAAAAAATATTTGTTTATTAAAAATAAAGTAATTAAATTAAATTAGAAAAAGATCTTAAAAAAATATTTTATATAATATTAAATAAAAATTGTTTTTTTATTAAAATAAAGTAATTAAAGTAAATTAAAAAAAAAATAAAACAAATGTAGTGTTAGGACGACTCCCTACAAAATGTTAAGATTAAATGTTAAATGAAGAAAAATGAGGTGACATTTAAAAAACTAACGTAACAAGATGTTATGAATGTTACCACTCCTTTAGCTAAATGATGATATGTTTTTTTTGGTGAGTTTATTATATGTTTAAGTTTCATATAAAGTATATCAACTATTTTAATTTTTTCGTTACAAACTACCAATTGTTGTAAAACAAAAAGACAAATTGCAGATACAAATGATACATATGTATTTTATTATTTAGGCCCAAAATTTAATCCAGTTGCTTTGGGCAGATGGGCATATCGGCAATTAGAAAAGCGAACAAAACGAAGGCGCTTAATACCCTAATTCCTAAACAAGAGTCCACTGATGACGCTCAATCTCACGCCCCGAATTCCGCCGTTCTCGATTTTATTTAAACTAGCAAAGAACTCGCGGCTACGCCGCTTTTGGGGTAATATAGGGAAAATCGGCAAACTTTAAAAAATACGTGCTGAAAGTGTAAATCACCGCAAATAGGAGAGAAAGTCGACAACCCCTAAAATTAGATGTCCAAAGTGTACGACAACCAAAAGAAAGGACACTGGTGGAGAAAATCCAAAAATATTGTGGCAATAATGTGAAAGTTGCCAAAGTTGAGAAAATATGGTGGCAAAATTCTAAAGGAGGTTTTTTGTGTTTTTTATGTCAAAATGTAAAAGTTTTGACTATAAGGACGAAAAGTGTCAATTTCATTAAAGATTTGTGGCAAAAACACCATAATATAAAACTTTTCACTGCAAGGACGAAAAGTGTCAAAGTTACTAAATATTTGTGGCAAAACCCTAAAAACACAAAAACTTAATCAAAACACAAAATTGTAAAAGTTTTCACTTTAAGGACTAAAAGTGTCAAATTCACTAAACATTTGTGGCAAAAACCTAAAAACATAAAAATTACTATTGCTAACTTCCTTTAGATTTAATATATATATAGAATAAAGTATTAATCTATTGGAGCCCGTATTTCTGATTTCTTGTAACTCTTTTATCTGATTTGCAACAGGCAATCAAGATTCACAAATCGATTGGAGCTGTATATCTGATTCCTTGGTTACTGATTTTTGATCCAAGTCTAAGCCTGATTTCTGAGTTTTTTGATCGATTGGATCCCCCGGAGGACGCTGGAAACCTAGAAAGACTAATATCTGGTTTTTTTCTTTTGGATCATTTCTGATGTCTTGTGATTACTAATTCCTGGAAAGAGGAGGACGACTGGACGAGGAGTGTTGACAGGTAATTTTCTCATCTCTTGTGATTACTGATTAGTGATTTCTGAATTTCTCTACATTTTCTGATTTCTGGATTCTGAAAGAATTTCTGATGAAAGTTATTGCTAGGTAAATTTGGGTCTGATTAGTTGATTTTGAAATTTCAGTTTGTAAAGTATAGAATGGTCATTAATTTGTTGTCGTTAGAAAGTTATAGTTAATTTTGCAGAAAAACTGTTCCAAATCTTCAATCATCAAAATAGTTGATAAACTTCAAAATTTAAGTGTGGAATATGATCTAAAATTTAACTTTCAAATTTAGTTTAGAAAGACATGCTTGAAGGTATCGTAGGGGTTGTTTGATAGTTGTTGACTGAGTTAGATCCTGTCTGGGTATGAAGATGTGACTGCATTGCCACTAAAACAATGTTGTTTGATTACACATCCGACTGAGTGTCATGAATACTAAAAATGACCATTTTACCCCTCTGTTTTGTTTTGTGTTGAATAAAATCTATTGGTTTGAGAAAAAAGTAATAAACTATCTTATATTGGACAAATAATGTAAATAAAGATAGAATTCTATAACAAACAAATCAAAGTAGAATGTTATAACAATCAAATCATTACAATGTTGTAATTAAAATAAATACAAGCACAATGTTGTAATAAGAATAAATAAAATCATCAAAAGTAGAATTCAAGTGCTAGCTAGACAACAGCATATCACATGCTCTACTACCATGGAGACAAACACAAAAGTACCAGAAATGAAAGAACCCACTACAAGTATAGTCAATGTAGTAGCAGAGAATGCACAAACTACATCACTTCAACATGTTCCCACTATTGCAGCATATGCTACAGCTTATCTACTTCATCATCTTGATTGCAATTTCCTTTCAAAGCTCATTACTTTTACAGTTTCTTGTCCTTATGGGATTCAATTTGATATGGAATTTTGAATACTTCAAGAAATCAAGATTTGTTACCTTCACATTGACATCACTTTTTATGACGACAAGTCTATCTGGAATTTTGGAGACGATGAATCTCTTTCAACTGCTGATTTGAGAAAGATCAATTTGGATCAATCGACTGGGACGTTAAACCCCAATATATCTCTTGGAACATGGGTTTGTTTCCAAACCAAACTAACATTGAGAACCAACTGTTTGGGGACATCGGGATCCTCCATTGATGATGAATTCATTATTCAATCCAAGCTATGGCTGCCTCTAATGCATCAAACAATCATAGATAGATCAGACATCTTCATACAGGTTATCATGTTGTGACGCCTATGAAAAATCGGCATACTGGTTATCTTGTTGCGAAGCCTATGAAATCGATTTGGAAATCGATTGTGAATCAAAAATCGTTTTACTGAACACTTCATCGAAATCAATCAAGAAAAGAAAAGAACTAACGATGAAGGAGGGCAATGCTGGAGAAGGACGGCGACAACGAAGACGTTGGGGATGGAGGCCGACGTTTGAGGATTGCGTTCGTTCATCAGCAACGCGAAAGAGAGATGTGAAGGAACGGGCGTATTTTGGAATAAGGGCAAAGAAAGGATTTTTTTTTCTCAGTCAACATCTTTTTTCAGATGACCAAATCAGATGTCTTTGGATCGAGTAAGAGCCATTAGATGTTAGTATCAAACAGTCTTGGTGGACCAAATCAGATTTTCACCTCTTACTGGATCCAGTAAGAGGCTTATCAAACAAGCCCGTAGACATTAAAATAATGGTTCAAATAAAAATAGTATTTCATACACAACCAATCCTCTTCTAAATGTCAAATAGCTTCTTAATCTTCTAAACTTTTACAAACAGTTATTAGCCTAAAAAAGAATATTAACATAGTGGGATTAGTCTTATAAGTAGTATACAAATGAACACCCGATATATATATATATATATATATATATATATATATATATATATAAACTCACTGATAGAGAATGTGATAAAGAATGAGTCTTATATAAAAGAGGGGAAAAGTGGAGGGACCAAATTGTAATATTTATGTTTTCTGTTTTGCACCCGATCCGTAGGCTATTATAAATAACTGTAGTCTTAGGGTTATTGGATCATTGAGTATTTTGCTTTTTAAGAATACGACGTTAGCTTGGATAGGGGGTTGTCTCTTTGGAGAGCCTCACTGATTAGGACAGGAAGGATAACCATTTGGGTTTCCTTCTCTGATTATATTTGTTCATCTTCAGATTAATACTTAAATTGATTAATCTGAACAAATATAATCAGAGAAGGAAACCCAAATGGTTATCCTTCCTGCCCTAATCAGTGAGGCTCTCCAAAGAGACAACCTCCTGCCCAAGCTAACACCGTATTCTTAAAAAGCAAAATACTCAATGATCCAATAACCCTAAGACTATAGTTATTTATACTAGCCTAGGGATCGGGTGCAAAACAGAAAATATAAATATTATAATTTGGCCCCTCCACTTTCCCCTCTTTTTTATAAGACCCATTCTTTATCATATTCTCTATCACTCACATATCTTCAAAATCAAAAAATCATCAGGCTAAAATTTGGGGAAAAACTTAAGTTAAGTCGAAGTATGTAAATACATTCTTTAAGACAAAGGGTACATGAAGCGAAGGGTATAATAATTGGCAATCAAATTCAATCTTTTTTTCCATTATCACATTTTTAACTAGGTTACAACCCGTGGAAACCACGGTAAAAAAGAAGACAATATTAAAAATTAAAAATTAAAATGAAAAACTAAAAATTTATAAAATTTTATTAAATTAATAAGATATAAGTAGTTTGACATTGTGAATCTTGTGGTTATTTTAGATTTGTAGAAATGTCGTATCTTATAATAATGTTTAATGTATTTTTTTATCATTTTTTTGTTTTCTATTTTAACATATAAGAAAATTGAATAACGGTTTTATATAAATTAAACTAATAAGTCAATTTTTATAGTATCTTAAATGCTTTAGTTTAAGAAATATAAAAAGTATCTATGGTCTAATAATCAACCAAGTATTTAGTATTTCCATCGAGTGCGCAGGCTAACAACAAACGTTGGACCATTAATAATTATAATGACTTGATAACTTGATAACAACAACAAAAAGTTAGTCTAAAACATATTGGTCTTTGCAGCAAAATGACAAATGTGATGTTGATAACATTATAACTTAATAATAATAAAAAGGAAGAAATAGAAGTGCAATAATAGCAACACACGTACACTCCATTGTTTTGTATGTTCAATATTCTCCTATACTCCTGCTAAGAAATATTATAAATATAAAATAATATTAAGTATTAATATGATTCGATCATGTTTAGCCATGAGGATCCATTTTATATGCTTTCTTCGCCCTTCATTAACCACATGCAAAATCACCCATCAGAATGAAAGCTACCCTATTTTTCTGACTTTTTGTATCTTCAAGCAATGTAGTTTTTGTTGTAGCATTGAACTCTCAACTTTTTTTAAAAGTACAATGCTATAGTGGGAAGAAGTTAAAGTAAGATGCTATAACAAATAAATCAATGATAGTAGGTTGCTATTATTTGAACTTAATTTGTTTACATAAGTAATTAATCATGTTATTCAAAATAAATTTCAATTGTAAATATGGTAGAAATGATACATCTTTTCTGTGAGGTTAAATCTTTAATCCTGGTATTCCGGTTACAATCTTCATAAAAAAAACCAAAAAGACATAAAAGGACTAGAATATCCATTTCCATCTTTTCTGTGCTTTCTCTTATTTCCGATGTATTCAATTTCTTTAATTTTTCGGAATTGACCGTTATATGCCCATCGTTAATAATACCAAATAACCTGTAGATGCAATTAGATGTAACACATATTATGGTAATTATCATACGAAAGCCAAAAATACCCTTTTCTCTTGATTCTTCCCCGATCTTTTGAAATCCATGTTACCAACTTCTTCTCAAGACTCCTTTCCCAAAACCCATAGATTATACCACATGCATAATCTTGATTTTTGTTCCTGTCTTAATAAAAGAACCATAAAGAAACAATTGAACCAATATATATATATATATATATATATATATATATATATATATATATATTCTTTTTTGCACTTACTTTTATTTCCGCTACATTTAACTTTTTTAATTTTCCAAATTTGACTATTATGCCCTGATAAATGGATTGAGTGCTTCCAAAGTGTAAAAGAGGACTAAAGTTATAAGATTATTACCTTGTGCAACACCAAACCTTATGCACTAACACAAATTCAGTCTCATTTTGTTTTATTTTTCTAAATTTAGAATTTTAAACATTTGAGATGAGGGAGCTTTTATTTTGAATGACTTCAAACAAAATGATTTATTTTACTCATAGAGCCAAAAACAGACACGGCTTCACGCAACCAAAAGAAAAATAGATAAGAGATATAAACAAACTCTAATCATAATAAAAACCTCAAAAACTAAAATTTTGCAATTATTGGGTCATATGATTCTAAAACGAACTTTTTATGCCGAAGAAGAATAATAACATGATTCCATTTCATATACCAACCCAATTTTTTAGTGTATCCATATCTTATCTTTTCGAAATAACGTCATACTTTAACTCTTTGTTATAGTATAGCCAAACTCTTTTTCGAAATAACATCTCACTCACACCAGATGGATCGTGCTTAAACTCCTTGTCATTAATTGACTAAAAAAAGGTTAGAAACTGGCATTAGTTAACTATAGCATCCTAGTTTTTTATATTACAACATTCTATTTGTAACTTATTTAGTATTAAAGCCATTAAATTTCTCAAATAGTTTATTATCTCATGTAAATGGGAACGAACAAAGTATTGGCAACAATATTGGAGGTTATTTACCTTACCCATTAGGTTTATCTCATTGTAAAGGTACATGCCACAAAATTTTCATAATGGCCTGCAATTGGGAAAGAGGTCAAAAATATGAATTTAAAAAATTAGTAAAAAGAATTAACATTTTGAAGATGATGATGTTCCTCTCCATAGACTAATACATGAATCTCATCTCGAAACAAAGTAGCTAAATCAACCAAACAACATACATCTACTATGTTACTATCAATCAATTTTAGTATTTAGAATCATAAACAAATAACCTACAAGTGGAAGCCAAATGGCGAGCATCCTACAATAGAGCTCCTTAAACTGGTGCTCTTAGTGGCTCACATACCTAGAAATTAAAATAACATTTATAATCAATGTTCTTGTGACATAAAAACAAAGACATTCATTTCAATTTTAATGTCAAATTCATTACATACCCATCTCAAAAAACTTATTTATGTTGTTAATTTTTTGTAAAGTTTTATGTGATTAATAAAAGTTGTTCCAGAACTCAAGAGATAACTGTTTGAGAATTGGTTGCTAAACTCTAAGAACTGCTGATAGAACTTTATACGACAATTTATTAATGTTTACTAGATCTGATGATCTTAGAATCCATAGCCCCAAGTGTAGATAAAGTGATAAACAAGCAAACTTCTATCCATAATAGACAAAGACAACTTGATACTAAAAGACCATATATATATATATATATATATATATATATATATATATATATATATATATATATATATATATATATAGGCTTAGATTATTATATTCAAAGTAATTATTGTATTATTGTATGCATAAATATGGGCCAATCATTTTACTTATTTTAAGAAAGTGATTAATACATATTATTGAATTAAATATAATTGAAAAATACCATCTAATTTAACTAGAAGGATATTTTAGTCAATTAATATATATTTAATAAAGGAAATTTGCATATTCTAAGGGATCATAGATTCTATTAATTTTAAAAATCCGATTTTACGAATTATAAGGTTTTTAATTCGAACATTCTGACAGAATATGTTTGAGTATGTTCAAAATTAAAAATATTCTTGAACATATTTCTTGATCATGACTTTAAAAATATCTTGTAGAATAACAAAATTTTCGAACCATCAATTGAAGAATTAAAACAAAAATTACATTAATTCTTATAGAATACAAGTAACAATTGCTAAGAATTACATTTATTGTTAAAGAATAAAACTAAAAAAACTTTCAAATCTGGAAAAAAAAACATTAAAATCTAACAAATACACTAATACATTCTAAAAGAATAATGTTGTTAAGAGACGTCGTTCAAATTTCGTGGTCCGTTCTTCAAACATCAGCTTCTGTGGAAACAAATCCAATGAATAAATTAATGAAAAAATATTCATATTTCATTCCAACATAATTGTAATTCGTGATTCCATTATGATAGAATTGGAATTCATTTACCAAATAATTCTATTAATTCGGGGAATTCTAACAGAATATGTTCATTATTATCATAAAAAACATTCTTTTCTGATAGAATACTATAAACGAAGAAATATCATTCAGTTGAAGCATTTTAGCGAGCGCTTGGTGTGCATCAAAATAACTTTCAATTTCTTGTAAAAATTAGACAATCAGAACAAATTCCCAATTCACCCAAAATATTACACCTTGAAAGAATTAGACAATAACCCTAAACACATCCAAAATTTCTTTGATTTCTGTCAAACAATCAACCCAAAACATCCATTCTATATATTGAAATCAAATCAAATTAAAAAAAACCCATTTGAAGATTAAACTTCATTGGTTTACAGTAAATCAATCTAAAGTACATCTGCAAACAAGAACACGTTTGTGTTTCCTTTCCTTCCGTGTCAAACACCCAATCCAAATACCCATTGGTTTCTATCAAATGAAACAAACCCAAACACCCTAATGATTTCTATCTAACAGTCAAACAAAAAGAAAAGGGAAGAGAACCTGTTACTGATCGGAGCAACACCCCTCACAACCCCTCTTCTTCTTCCGTCGAGCAAACCCACCGAGGACCCCGACTTCTTCACTTCTGCTGATCGCGACACCCCACCATTTTCCTTCGTCCCTTCAACTTCGTCAAACCACGAAGACGACCTCCCCTGTCGCCGATTGAAATCGCTCCTCCTATATTCGCACCTCTGATTCGGAGGAGAAAGAGCAAAATCTCGCTGCCTCGTGCCTTCCTTCCTTTGGTTCGGCCAAAAACTGGAGATGGTCACTTAGTTCGATCGATGGTGGTGGTGGCGATCTTCTGTTTTGGAGCTAGGGTTAGGGAGGATCGAATGGGATAGAATACAATATTGTTGATTGTTTTAAAAAAGGATAAAGGTAGGTCAAAGTAATTATCATAATTATAGGAGTGTATTTGTAGAAACTATTTATCAAATTACTAAATTACCCTTATTTATTTGTTTGATTATTTATTTATTTTTTAAATTTTGATTGGCCCACATTTATGCATACAATAACACAATAATTACTTTAAACACCTGAAAATAAATAAATAAATAAATATATATATATATATATATATATATATATATATATATATATATATATATATATATATCATGTATGTAAGCTTAGATATAGAACTTAATAACATTGCTATTAAAACTACATAGTTTCACTAAAAATAAATTACATCATTTCTTTCTTAATTAAAATTCATATTTTAGTCGTATAATTTATCATTAATGTTACAACCATTTAGTACAAAATATATATATTTTTCATTTGCGAACATTTGGTACTAGCCTATGACGGCTTAAAAATCAACTTCAACAACATACAAAAAAACAATGAATAAACTATAATATGATGAAGTTTACGATAATGTAGAGTTATTTGTTTAATCATTAATTGTTTATTTGCAAATGAAAGAAGATATTCATAGTTTACTTCGTTAGATTGTTTTATTTAGGTTATGTTAGTGATCATTTGAATAATGTACGTAAGTAGGGATTGCATAGTAAAAGATGATAAAAGACATATTATGTTAGAGCTAAATTAGGAGGAAATGTTCTGAGGAAAAATAATCATGTATTATTATAAATGATTTAATCAAAATTAGGTAGTTTTTATATGTTCTATACCTAAGTTTAGATACCTAACAGCCACATATTACAAAAATATATAATAATATAAATATAAAAGTATACTAAACACCAAAAGATCAATACTTTAATTCATATAAAAGTATGAGTGAATGACTAATTAGGATCCAGGTGTTGTGAATGGAGTGATAAAAAAGGATTGGGTAATTGATTTTGGCTGTTTTGGGGCCATTGGAACCTGAAAACATGAACATCTTTCAGCACAAAGCAACATACACTTCACAACAGATCATCAACTTAGCCTATGAAGTTTTGATTCAATATGACCTGAAAACCTTACAACCCTCAGACTACAATCACAATGCGCAATATATATTCTTATTAAACATGAAGCTAATTACAAGATATAAACTAGTTTATATGTGCCAATAACTTTGTAAACACCAACATTCTACTAAGAACATAGAAAGCATCTCGGAATCTATAAGAAGATGCGAGATAACTAAAAGTACAACGAAGCTATAAGCAATTTATAGCACTCCTGCTTACACAGACACACGATTCATTCAGAAAGCTTGAAATGTACATAGTTCAGAATTTACGAAAAGCATATCATATCAGGTTTCTATTCAAACACGCATTAATTCGAGCAATGAATGCAAGAGTAAGCCATTGTTAGAGAACGAACCGTATAATTTCTTCCTTCCGGCTGTCGCGTTTTACCGATGCGGCTGAGGAAAAATAAAACCCTAATTGAAGTTTTATATGAGAGGTTGGAATTTTTATTATAGCAGACTTTTATTAATGGGCCTCTTTTCATGGGCCTTTTAAGAATCATCTATCCACAGTCCAATCGATTATCGAGTATCGAACTATTGAAGGAACTCAAGTTCAACATCTGAACTCACTGCTATTCCAAATTGCAATTCAACGATCGATCGCCAAAACGTATCCATCGTCTTCGACGACGAATCTCGTCAAGAGCTCTCTATTGCTAGCGTCGTTACTATCCCAAACCCTAGAATGGCAAGTCTCCATCTCTCGATATCTATTAATTTTGCTTAGCAAAAGCCCTATCCTAATCCAAGTAATTGGTTAACTCAATCTTTCATTAATTTTACTTAACTTTAGCCTCGAATCTTATTCGTTAAAGGTATAATAGTTTTTTATGCAAATTGATGTTGCTTTGGAGATTTGAAGTAGGAGAAAGCTTTGAATTTCTAAAGATATTATGAGCACTTTGTTATCTAATATCTATCTGTTCTAGAATCTCTAAATTGTATGCGCACTCCATGAGTTTTATTGTAATTTCAGCCTACTTATCACTGATAATAAGTAGCCCATTAGAAGAGAGCTTTGAATTTCTTTGATATCGAATTCCAGCATGCTTATTCAAATTTGTGCTTACATGCATAACTGATTAGTGACGTGATGTTTCAAAGTTTTTCACTTGGAGTAATGATTATTTGTTATTTTGGTGACAGTAGATGTGACTGGTGATTTGAATTTAGAAAAGGCAATAATGGAAGATCAACGTTCTTTCAATAGCCCTAGAAGGACTCTTAGTTATTCTAGAAACAGGGGAACAACTTTCTCTGTTTTTGAAGCAGACAACAAAAAGGCTTCAGGTGTTGGTGTTTCAGGAGACCATGGTCCTAACCTTTCTGAAGTTTATGGTTTTGTAGGATCTATTTCAACTGTTGTTGCCACAGGTATTCTTCCAATGATTACAAAGTAGAAGATTCTTGAAAGATCCTTTCTTTTCTCAAAATTTTGGTTAGGTTTCATTTTGTGTTCAGAGGATCCTAATATTATATTGCTTTGTTGTTCTAATAGTTATTTTCATGGTATGGGCATACGTTCCTGATCCTTGGTTACATTCCATTGGTATCTTCTACTATCCTAGCAAGTAAGTAAATGTGCATCGGATAAATGATGTTATATTTTCTTTTTTACATAAAACTTATTATGAAATTTTATATAATGTGCTGTTTTTTTTAAAACTTTTCAGGTACTGGGCATTGGCACTTCCTACTTATGCCATGGTGATCATTGCAACAATCTTCATATTCTACATGGGCCTCAATTTTATGGCAACTCCACCTCCATCATCATTCAACTCAATATTCGGTGAGTTAATCTCCCATAAGGCTTCTTATTTATGCAACCATGTTTCACGTGTTCTCAATTTATGCAACAAAGTGGTCTTTAGATGAAATATATAACCACGTTAACATGTTTTAGTGGTTAAAATGTGTTTGCATATTTTGTGTTAGTTTCTTAAATTGGTAAAAGAAAGTATAATTTTGTAAGTATATTTATGACAGATGAAAACAGTAGAGAACTTGTATGTTTTGATTCTGTGTTGGAGGAAGATGATCGACCTATTGAGCCTTACTCTGATATTGGAATTGATCAGATCAATGAACTCATGTTCAAAGACTAGAGATAACGGTTACCAAAAAGATAAGATGATTGATTGTTCTCAAATGTATGCAATTATAATTCTTGAATTTCTAGCATTTGTATTTGAAGGTTCCTTTCCTATATTATGCAAATGGTAATTTTCATCATACATGTAATTGATTCCCATATTTTTACACTTTATATGATTAGTTTATGGAGAATTTGGATATAATTTTTTAAGGGACACTGCAGGTATAATAATTAGGTAATTTTACTTATACATGAACGAAAACTTCTTATTACAACTTTCATTGTTACATTTGTATTGTGTTAACTACATATTTTGATTTTTGATAACAAGTAATAAATATAATATAAAAAGAACTAACCACGAAAGTGACCAAAAAACTCAAAAATATCACAAATAGTTGTATTTTCAAAGTGCTTCATAAATGACAATCAATTTAATAATGTGATAATGGAAAAAAAGATTGATTTTGATTGCCAGTTATTATACCCTTCGCTTTGGTTTATGAGTTCATGTACCCTTTGTCTTAAAGAATGGATTTACATACTTTGACTTATCTTAAGTTTTTCCCCGAGTTTTAGCTTGATGTTTTTGTGATTTTGAAGATATGTGAGTTTGTACGTTTGTATATTTGTATATATATCATGTGTTCATTTGTATACTACTTATAAGACTAATCCTACTACGTTAATATTCTTTTTTTAGGTTAATATTCTTTTTTTAGGTTAATAGCTGTTTGTAAAAGCTTAGAAGATTAAGAAGCTATTTGACATTTAGAAGAGGATTAGTTGTGTATGAAATGCTATTTTTATTTGAACTATTATTTTAATGTCTACGATACCTTCATGCATGTCTTTCTAAACTGAATTTCGAAGTTAAATTTTGGGTTGTATTCCACACTTAAATTTTGAAGTTTATTAACTATTTTGATGATTGAAATTTTGGAACCTTTTTTCTGCCTACGCCGACCGGTTGGTCCGGGTATTCCCCATTGATGATTTCTTTGTCACCTGCCGACTTTACCCGTGAATTCTTGCTCTCCTACATGATCTCTTTTGGCTGCATGATTTCATAACATTGTAACTCCCTTGGCGGCGTTGCTAGAACCGTTCCTGGTCCTTCCGTTGCGTTGAACTTTATTATTCCATGCATTGTTGACGGGACTGCCCCAAATTTGAGTAGGGTCGTCCGTCCAAGGATGATGTTATGGTCCGTTAGATGCCTTATCACGACAAAATCTATGAGACCTGTCTTCTTCTTTGCTTTGTCGTGGTTGGTCAACGTGAAGGGCAAGTGGATCGTGCCTAGGGTCCATACGCTTTGCCATGTGAAGCTTTTTAGTCGTCCTGTTGCAGGTTTGAGGCTCTCCTTCCACCTGTCAGGTAGAAGGCAGAAACAATGCTCGTAGACAATGTTCGCTGAACTGTCTGTATCGATGTACACCTGATGAATCGTAACATTTTTTATGTACCCTTAGATTATGAGTGGGTCGTCGCCTCGCCAGCCTGCCGATCGAGTATCTTTTATTGAAAACGTCAACCATTGCATGGGTCTAGTGAGATTGTCTACATCACCATGTTCCTCCTGCCTTCCCCTCTTGGACCATATCATTAGGATTTCGTGAGGTTGATCACGCTCCCTGGCTGCGTCCTTGACATTCTCGGCATCAAACTTGGCACAGAGGCTTCGTGCCACCTCGACGAGGTTCCTTTTCAATTGTTTTTCTTCCATCTCCCTTTTTAACACTGAGCAGTTGATGGTGTCATGTGTCTTACTCTTGTGGTACTCGCAGTATTGTCCTTTTCCTCCTTTCACCGGTTACTTGTCAGAAACTGCATCGATGTCTGGTTACCTGCCTCATCTTTCGTCTCTTTGGAATGGTCTAAAGCGTCCTTGCGAGCGCTTACCTCGCCAAAAGTGTCTGCCCCCGCCTTGGGTCTCGGGGTGAGGCGATGACGAGCTGTGGCACTTTGTGACCGAGGCGGTCATGGCCTTCATGTATACTTGCTTCGTTGCCTCCCCTTCCTCTTATCTCAGGTAGCGTTCTACTTTCTTTTTTAGTTCCGCCCGCGTTTGCAGTTTTTTCTGCATGAGCTTCTGAGACAACGGTCCTGGGAGGAGGCCCCACGTGAAGGCGCCTGCTACTAATCCATCGTTGTGGCGTGGGACGTCCATTGTGGCATTAGTGAACCTGGTAAAGTATTCTCGCACTGTCTCTCCTTCATTCTGCTTGCAGCCGATAATCGAGTGTGCATCTCCCTTACATTTACGCAGTTGCTTGAAATTCGTCAAGAAGAGATACTTTAATTGTCCGAAGTTGTAGATGCTCCCTGGTCGCATCGTCTTGAACCACTTTCCTGCGTTGTCGTCTAGGGTGATTGACAGTCTTGGTTTGGGATGGGGAGGGCACCCTGTGGGTTATACTGCTGAGTGGTGATGTAAGGCAGCATGAGCATGTTGTTGTATGCCGAGGAGTGGCCAGGATTTGGCCCATACAACGCTTGTTGTGGAAATGGGAAGGTTAGTGTTTTGGTGAGCAAGATGGGTGAGTTTTGTGTGAGAGGGTTATTGGGCACAAGTGGCTGATAATGTGGGATTGTGGTGTTGAAGGGTATGTTTGTCACAACGGAGGTGTTTGGAAAGCCATTGTTTGATCTCTCGCCATCTGGTTCAATGACGGTGTTTGGAAAGCCATTGTTCGATTTCTCACCATCTGGTTCAGCGGCGGTGTTTGGAAAACCATTCGTTGTTCGCCTACCACGTGATATAGTGGTGGTGGTTGCGAGAAAGTCGGTGTGACGCTGACGTTTTCCACCGTTGGCGGTGTTGTATTGCTTGATATCACCATTAGTTGTGGTGTTTGCATTGGAGCGCTTCATATTGTTACGACGGTGGACGAAGCTGGTCCTTCAATGGCCGATCTCTGTGACTCGGTTGTTGGAGAGGTGGTTACCATCGAGCTGCCATTTTGTGACGCTTCACCGGTGAGGAGTGTGCTTTTTTTTTGTTTTTCGTTACACTACGGATGACGCCAAATGATGTGACCTGGTCCCCGGGGTGGTGGTTGGTTCTAACGACATCATAGGTCTGATAGGGCTGGTTGGTGTCCCACTAGTTACATCGGTGTCGTCGGACGCCATTCTTTCACCGATGAGGAGTGTGCTTTTTTTTTGTTTTTCGTTACACTACGGATGACGCCAAATGATGTGACCTGGTCCCCGGACGGTGGTGTCGTACGTCTTTGATGATCCCGATGAACCTGCGAGGTCACAGCGAGAAAGAATCGTCAGCCGTTCTCCGGGAGGAGGCTCCCGGGAAAACGCTCAAATGGTCAAGTCAGTGGATAGACTTGGGACTGTATTGTGTGCAAATCGGGAGAAGACGACTTACCTTCCAAGGCATCTGGGGTGGTCTTTTATACTGAGTCCCTCTGCTAGTCCGTACGGGACAAGGGCATCAGACCCGATAGGATCGGGGACACTGATTGGATGATCGTGCTCCTTAATCTGTCAGAACCAACGATTGGTTCAGGCGGTAATGCTCTGAGCATCTGCCTTGTCGCCTGAGACCTTTATATTTTTCCTAGAGTGGAGGGTGTCCATGGCGGGGTCGGGCCTTCTCCGCGAGTGCCCTGTTCTTAGAGGCGCTGACGGGCGCTAGATTCCGCCGGGCTTGGCGCTAGGAGCGGCATGCCTTGGGGCATTCTTTGGCGCGTCTACGCGCAACTTCTTTGTTCGTGCCAGGGGCACGTCATCAGTGGGAGTTCAGGAAACTTCCAACAGCTAGTCGACGTCTTCTTTTTATCTGACTTGTGGATGAATTTAGGTTGAGGGTTGTGTTAGAGCCTCGCTGCCTGTTCTTGTATGATGAAGGCTTTGGGGTTCGAAGCATGACATGAACACCTGATTGGATGCAGTTGGATGCGAGTTTCGACTCATGATGAGTGGGGTTGTGATGGTTTGGGTGTGGTAAGAGCATGGGTGGTAACCATGGTCGGTTGGAAGTGTTGTAAGACTGCGGTGGGATCGTAACACTCATCAGTTGAGGAGGTCATGAGGCGGAGTCGGACATGTGTAGCTCTAGATGGGAAGGACATACAGGAATGTCGGAGAGCATTTCTCTATTTTAGGTTGAGGACCATTGGGGACCGAGGCGGAGTCGGACCTGTGTAGCTCTAGATGGGTGGGACCCGTGGGCGAGGCGCGCTCCGTAGTATAATTTGGGTGGGACCTGTGGGCGAGTCCCGTGTGTATATGGCAATGCAGGTAGGACCTAATAGAGACCCTTGGGTCGAAGTATTGGATTTTGATTGGCAGGATTGAGTATGTGGTCAGTGTGTGGCGTCGAAGGATGCTTAGGCTAGGATATCCTTGTCATTTGGACTCCTGGGAACCTGGTGGCTGGACCAGGTGCGTGACTGGTAGTCTCTGCGATGGTTTAGGAACCTTTATGTCTCGGTTTAGTGAGGGGTTGTTTTGAATCATAAGGTTGAAGGTGAAATGCAAGTGTAGATCCTTCGATCTCGGGCTATGAGTTAAATATCGAGTGGGTTCTTAGTAGGAACTCACGTTGGGAATCGCGAGTATTTGTGTGCAAGGTGTAACGACCCAATTTTTCAAAAGAAAATTTTCATTTTTGATTAACCAAAATACTTTCCACACACCATGAAATCCCAAATACAATTGTTTTCGAAATTCATATCAAATACAATTTTATTACGAATCATCAGAGTGTCCCGTAAAAACGTCTATAAGAGAGTGCACGTCGCACCATCAGACCTTGCCCTTGCCCTTGGGCTCAGATGTACCTGAAACAAATCCACAAACTGTAAGCTAATGCTTAGTGAGTTCCCTACAAAGCATACCCCGCACACAATCCACATAACATATATCACATTAGCTATAAAAGCTACATCATCAAATAAGCCATGCATACAACATATAAGGAAGCCATGGAAACCATCCAGGGTCTTACACCTAGTGTCACTGGAACCCCCACATGGTCTTACTATCTACCATGGGAACCCCCACATGGTCTTCCTGCCATGGGAACCCCCACATGGTCTTTCTGCCATGGGAACCCCCACATGGTCTTCCTACCAAGCAAATATCATACAACTAATCATGCAAATATACTAGGATGCCATGAAAACCCTCCAAGGTCTTATACCAAATGTCACGGGAACCCCCACGTGGTCTTAACCTATTGCCACAGGAACCCCCCTGGGG